TATGGGTTATCATAATGCGGCTTAAACGCTCAAACGCGTTTATTGTTAGCTGTTACGATACGGATTTATTCCGGCTACCTGTCCGCCAGGCGGCGACCGATTACTTCTACCGTCATTTCGTCACACGAGAATAGTCCCCGGAATCTCAGGCTCGACCCTTTCACATTCGCTTCGACGACTATAAAACTTCAATCGCACCGCCGCCCGTCGATCAGTATATTCGCATTACATTCGCATAGCGGCCGCGCGGCGACAAATAAAAGCAATCGTTCGCACACCGCGCTGATCGGGCAGTGCACGTGGGAGGTCGGGGCTGAGCTCAAAAGTCGATAGCCGGAAACACCACGGTCTTGTTAGCCGCTGATCTAAGCGATCTAAGTGTGGGCGCTAGATCATAGGCCAGTCAATCCTTCAAAGCAAGTAAATATGGCGAAAGAGAGTATCCGTGGTCGGCAGAGATAGGCGCGAAGGCGATAGATCTTTGTTGATACACTTTTCGCCCCGTCCGTTTCCTTCATATCGCGATGTACCATTTCTTCTCTCATTCTTCGCGCATATACGGCACATCATTGCACGTATGGCGCGCGCTCGCGCGCGAGACATTCCATTCCAGATATATCGCGATGCGGCGGATATGGTCGACGGGCGCAGGAAATTGGAACCGCGTCTGCGGCGGGAATCGGCGCCGTGCGCGCGATCTGTCGTGGGCGTCGATCGTGCCACGAGCGATCGCACGGCGATCTTCTGGATCACGCTCCGGACCGACCTGAAATAAATCAACCGTTCACGGATGAGGGTACAGGGTGGGGTACGTGGAAGCGTGCGCTCGCAGTTTCTACCATTCCCACGCCCACCGTCACCGACCACGAGACCGCATCAGAACAGCCCCTAAACCGTAACCGCGTCGCTATCGACATTACTGAAAGAAAAAGAAAAAGAAAACCGGCCATGAGTCGATTCCATCGTCTTTAACCGCGGCTTCGAGAATCGCCGGGATCACTCCGGCGGCACTAAAGTTCTTCGTTATACGGTGACCTCCGCCAATACGATGATCTTTGCGCCATCATCATCGAATTCGGAAAGCCGGCTTGTCTCGGCAACGATCGTTTCTCGCGCGCGAATCCCCGCGAAAGCGGACTCTCCGGCATTGTAATTGAAACCGCGCACCGGTATAATCTCGTAGGAAACGTCGGATTATCGGCCGCTTATGTCGAAGGGAAATGATTTATTCGACGGCAATCGCACGAGCTTGCGTAAACTCGGCAATAGCTGTAGGGAGTATCCGCGTGAGAACCCGGCGGCTCCTAACTTCTGCCATCACGAGATTAAGTCACGCGTGCATATCGTGGCGGCGTGGCGCGCGCCGTAAAACTTCCGGCTGTATATCCCGCCGGAGTATATAAATGTCTACGTCATAATGATAAGATTATCTTTATTGCCTAATAGCTGTGTCGTCGTTTTGCTTACCTTGACGCGTCGTTGATGAGGAACCGTCATCGACATGCTCGCCGGCTTACGTTCGTTTATTCGCGAGAGAAAAGCGAGTTGCAAGCTTTAAGCTCGCGCTAAGTCTGCTTTCTACGTTACACCCACACGTTCGTGAAGCGTTTCGCGACATTCTTGAGCTTGCCGAAGCAGCACGCTGATAATCGTTAAGTTGTGGAACCAATGACTGCCGGGCCGTCGTCCCACGCACGGCGACACGAATCTGGTATATACCGGGACCATCACTTCTAAATTGGCGAGTCTTCCGACGATTGCCTCATCGAACGATTTTTTATGTCGAAAAAGACTGGAACGAGATTAACGATTAATCTTCTAAATGTCATGCTATTTATTACGAATTTTAGCGATCTTGTAAACAAAATTAGTAATTTTCTATAAACTTATGCGCATATATTAATAAAAGATATTGGAGCGATATATTTAGAGTTTATAAATTATTAATGATTGATTTACTAATTTATTATTGCCATGTTTCACAGAGTAAATGTATTCTTTGTTAACAATCGTGATTTAGTAAATTTATATTGTTGTCAAAAGCAGATCGTTTTTCACGTTCTATATCTTCATTTCCGTCACGCCGCACACCTTGATAACCTTGACTTCTTGCTGCCACTAGTAAATGTTATTACTCTTAGCTAAACATTACCGCTCGATCTTTACAGTTGTGGGATTTTATTAGGTGCATTCAGTCGTTATGACACGGTATGACCGCATCCGTTACGTTTGCACGCGATACCGATCCGTATCGATGCATCTCCGGCGCCGCACCTGTATACCCGACGTTGTTATTACCTGCATCATTATCTTTATCAAAACAGTCAATCTTCATTAAAATCCTGTACAATGTTGCTCGGAGCACCGGTGAGGGCCAACCGGATCTCGAATCCAGTTCGTCGACTATTCTTCGTGCGAAGCTGCTCCTTGCGGACAAACACAATTCGACGTGTGTTCGCGTATAGTCGCGTATGGTGGCAGTTAGATCATTTAGAAGGCAATGGAGAATGGAGGCAGAAATCGTGTACGGAGAGAAGACTAAAGGAAGAATGGAGTACACGACAGCGACTCAGAGAGAAGTGGATCCATAAAGGCGAAGACTGCTCGCTATTGCTGAGTGCAAACGCATGCTGTTGCTGATAAGGCGCCGTCTCGCGCTCATCACACAAGCAACCGCGGCCTACCTGATAATCCGTAAAATGCATAATGATTTATTATTACACCGCTCGACGATGGGAGGCATGTAGATACAACATATACCTTCGCGACTCCGAAAGTAAATTAGCGCGATAATGGCCGTTGGTACTTGTTTTGTCATAGAAATAAATGAATTGTGCATACGTACACGTGGTAGTAAACACGTTATAGTCTTAAGAAAATGTAGGCTTTTTCGATATTTTATGATCTCCACATTGAATTCGGACAATTACAATGTCTGACAAGTGGTAATGTACTTATGTAAAAGAAATAATAGTAACAGTTAGATAATATTTATTGAAAACAAAAAGTTGTTGCACAGAGAAGTATTATTAACTGTGTTCAATATATAATGCATACATATAATTCTCCTTCCTAATAAAAATTTTTTAATTGAGCGAGAAAAATATTACCTGAAGATTTTATATAATATAGGTACTCAAATATTACTTCATGCTCGACCTATCGTAAATTCAATTAAGCTTAATGTCTGGAGATTAAATAGATAGTTACCTGTTGTAGATAACGCTAATTAACAGTATACCTCTATGTTTTAATAATATTAGTTTGTATTTTTATCAATTTCTATTTCTATTTCCTTTTTAATCGATTAACTCTTTCAATTGCCGGCTTCTTTGATTATATAATATATATAACTTCTAATATTATAAATTTTCTTGTTAAGAGATATATCTACAAGGTTTAAAATTAATAATTAAAAATTATTTGTAATATTATATATGATCATTTGAGAGCGATTTCAGCAAATATGTACAAAAAATTAAAAAATTGAATAACGCTCGCTATATAATAGTTTTTCCAAAGTATTTATTTCAACATAGATTATAGATAATTAGAGATAATATGAAACATTGCTTATATAACTAATTATGGGCACCGAAAAACTTAGACAAGTCGCTTATGTAATTCCGATTGTTCATGATAATAATAATCAGACGTTTTCGTTGTTACAAGAGGTAAGAAAAGAGAAAGAGAGAGAGAGAGAGACAGAAAGAGAGAGAAAGGAATATATTTATATATACAATTATTCTAAATTAAATATCTACAAAATCGCGCGAATTCTCTTTCCTTACATTATGTCGCCAAATGTAAGGAGTTAAAAACAAGTCATTGCACAAAGAAATTGCTCTAACTATTAGATTATAATTAAGGCATATTTAACAATGTTATAAATAAGTATTAATATTAGGCACGCAATATTTTTCCTATTCTTCTCTGTTCATCACAGACCGATATATGTATAAATTGGCTATTTTATAATAGTTAATATATGTATAACTATTATATAACAAACTATAATATTATATATAGTATACGTTTTGTTTTAATAACGTCACATATATGATAGTCTTATATAATAGTCTTTTGTAATGGAAGCACAATATGCGATATATGAATTTTGATCTATGCATCAATTTAATCTTTTATTGTTAGGACCAATCCATATAATTTACAAAATGAAAAAAATTAAAATATTGCTTTTGATTATAATAAAAAACCAAAGTTATAGAAATATCTATAAATATATACTAATATTTAATACTAATTTTATAACAAAAAAATATATAAGGTTCTACTAGCTATAATTACGATTGATATTTTTGGTAAATGTGCCAATTCTATAAAATTTCCATTTATACAATTAAATTATTACAAGAAAAACTGCATTATAAGTGTCGAAAATATTACTGTTCCCGTCATAAAATTAAAAAACAATGCCTATACGTATTGCGCGATAAGATAATAATATTCAATAATATATAGTTGCTTGTGCAATATATATATATAGCACTTTGCCGTTTAGGTTTATGCGCACAATGGCATTGAGCATATTTACTATAATTCAATAAAAATATTAACTTAATAATTATAATATTATGTACATAGGCTCGTCATTCGATAAAATTACGACGCTTTTGCTGTTGACGCAATTGCACTAATATATAACAACAATAAGCAATAATTGACATTAGAAACGTCTATTGGAAACATCTTGAGCCATAGCGTAACATTTGCACATTAATCATCGAAATGTACAAAAAACGTTTCGTCTTAAGCCGTTCTCCATCGAATAAGCATGATAGTAATGTCAAAATATTTTATATAACTTAAAAAAGATATTTCTATACATATTCCATTATTCCATTATACTGTCACTATTATTTGCATTTTATGTAATTAATTAGTTTAGCTTATCAATTGTTGTCAAATAAAATTAAAAATAATGAAATATTAGAGAAATATCGGAAGAAATATTAAAGACAGTGTCACGCAATCATTAAAAAAATATTTGATAAATATTTTAATAACATCAGTTAGATGATAGATGTGCAAAAATGACAAATAAAATGCCGATATATGGTGTATATACACGAATGCATACTGCCATCAGATATTCGACGTGAAGAACGAACATTTTGCACCAATAGAATCTATGGTAATTATGGAACGTGTTGGAAATAAAATGATAAAAGGAAAGACAAAAAATTTTAGCTATGTACAAAGCGTATGAATATTACATTACTAATAGATTTGATTTCTCTCGCATTACTAATCCACGATTGTCGTAACGTTACAGATATCCTATCATATTAGATATCTATAAAAAAATGGTATCACAATATCATGACGTATGCGAACGAACGAATTCGTGATGAAATTATATTATATGAATAAAAATTACAAATTAACTAGTGTAGCAACAGTGTGCATTTTAATATTAATTGATTAAGGCTTTCTTACAGTATTACATTATTGCACGACAAAAAAATCTTTCCAATATTCCCCACTTCAAATTATACTTATAACTTTCTTTCATTGCGAGTGAAAATGATCGATAATCGATTGGCAATAAGTTATTTGATTTCTTCGATGCATTTCACGAGAATCAATCGTTTTTTTTTTACTTAGGTCGAGAGAGAGAGACAGAGAGAGAGAGAGAGAGAGAGAGAGAGAGAGAGAGAAAGGCAGAAAATTTACATATATAAAATATATATTTTAAATATATTCTCCTAAAAGATTGATCGTCATATAGAATCTTTAATGTATAAATTACTATTTACAATATAGTAGTGAAACATACTATAATTATTCCCCTTCGTTGATCGCTAAAAATGTAACATAGTAAGTGCGATCAATTTATAATAAATCGTTTGGTATACTTTGTTACATCTTTTTATCTGAAGTACAAAATATTTTAAAAGACACGTAAAAAGAACAAAATTAACATAAATAATAAAACTATAGAAAATAGAAGAGCGTGCGCTATCTCTTGTATTTATCAAGAGTAATCGCGTTTTTTCTAGAAACAAATAAGATGTTATAATAATATAATTAAAGAATCCTAAAGGAAAATTCAGGGTGATGTTTGATGTTTGAGAGTGGTCGACTCGTAGCCGACGGATTCTCCGAGTTCGATCCCCATCCCATGTATATTTCAGTTTTATAAGAGATTGGAGAATTGAAGATTGTGAATAAAAGATAAATAAATATGAAATAAATGGCAACCCGCGTTTTGGGAACTCATATTTCATCAGGAGAATCGCCGTAAAGAAAAGTTCTAAATAAAAAATTCTAAGATAAAATATAATTTTCTTTATACCTCGCGCTATACTTGACAATTTGGAAGGTCTATGAAAGGAAACGAGATATATCGTTAAGGAAATTCAGACATTAGTAATCTCGTCGATAAAAAATCTAGACGAGGAATGAATAAATCTGCCACATTACAATAAGGGAAGGGATGAAGATGAATCTCAGGAAACGTCAACAGGACGTTGTATTCACTAATTAGAACAAGTAAAGTCCGCGTTATTGATTTCCTCCATCAAACGTAAACTTCGCCCCTCTTGCTACCGGCGACAGTCGTCGTGGTGGACACGCTCGTAGACGATGTTGGGGACGTCGAGCCTAAGCTGCTCGAAAGCGACGCGTTTGTGCACGAGACGCTACTGATTTTTCTCGACGGATCCTGGACACTCTGATTGGACCTGGAGAGATCATGACCGAAGCTGCTGGTCCTCGATCGAATACCTTGATTACTGGACACGCTAAAACCGTCCTGCCTGTTCGGCACGGAGATCATGCGAATTTCCCTCGGCTGCAATCCTGGAGATTGCGGCAACGACATGCTTCTGTCGTCTCGACCTGCCTGGGTCAGTGGTAGTGGCGGACCGGGCAGCGAGGCCGATCGTCTACCTCGCGCGTCTGTCACTACCGCCCTGTTAGCTTGAGTTCCGGGCACAGCGGCGGTGACCACGTAGCCTAGTTTCTCGGGTCTCATCAAGATCGGCGAGCGATCGTTGTAGCCGTCAAAAATGGGCGAGCTGCCGTTGCTACCCATCGGACTGTTGTTGTTGTCGATCAACGGCGTCGAACGATCCTCTTGGCCGGTAATACTTCCGCTTCTGCTGCTACCGCTCCCGCTACCTTCCTCCTCGCTTGTGACCTCCGTTAACGTCGCCTGGACGACGCTGTTGCCCTGATTGTTAATATGCGGCGTCGTGGTTGTCGCCGTCGTCATCAGACCCAATTGCGTCAGATGGCCCATGGTGACCGGTGTTAAGGTCACCGGTGTCATCAGACCGGCGCTGGTCAACGTCGGCGAGAGCACGGCCTGCGCCAAGGCCGCCGCTCCGGATTTCCCTGAAGCGGGCGTGCTTTCGGTTTCCTGTATCGGCGACAGCACCACCACCGACAGATCAGTTGGATAGTGACCGTTCGCTGGTATCACGCCCACCACACCCGCGCCGATGTTCGCCGCGTTGGTGGCGGACAAAGCCAACCTCTGTTCACGGTCGATCACCTCCTTCGTCACATCCGGAGTTGGTATGCGCGGCCTGTTCTTCAGGGATACCGGCACCGAGTTCAGCTTCGTCATGGTACCTACAGTTAGAAAAAGAATACAATTAGAAAAGTAATGACCGTTAGAGCGACGCTGGCTTGGTCGACTGGTTCCGGAATCGGGATCATTCCGAGGACGCGGAAAATAGGTAATGATGATGCCGATTAAACTAACGACTGTAATATTTCTCGGTTGAAGACCACGTTGAGCGAGCGTGAAAATGAATTTTAGACCATTGCTTTGGCGCCAGGAAGCACATCGAGTTACACTGACGAGAATATAATTACGCGGATATGATACTTTTGCGGTACTGTGTCTTTCTCCTTACGAGAATGAAAAAAAAAAAGGATAGAAAGAAATACAAGGACTTTAGAGAGTTTTCTCGTTGAATGCGAGAAATAACCACGGAAATTGCAGAGGTCACGCAAGATCGAACATTGCACAATCTCGCGCATACGTGGAATACAATAAAGGAAAAGCTTGCGATTCTTCGAGACTTTCTTTCAAGACAAGTTCGTGACTCAGAGGAAAAAATCTTCGATTAGCAACACCCAATCTTTGAAAACGTGAATCTTCTCCGAAAGCATATTAATGAGACAAAGAACATTCTATATAGTATTGTGAAAATAAAAATATAAAATCGATAAAAGATTTTAATACTCAATTCATCTTGAAATAATTTTGCACGAGAAACGAAGATGTTGCTGTTTTCGAAGATTTATTTTGCTTCATTCAATTTATTGTCGTTTAACGTGCTCTAAATATAAAACAAATATAATTAGTAAGGCGTTGTTATTTTTATAAGTTTTATCGGAGCAAATATGCGCAGATTAAGAGTAACATACTAGCTATCAATGTAACAGCTTCTACGCACCTTGGCGACCCATGCGCTGGCTCCGGACGCTCTTTCGCCCGACGAGACGATCGTAGAGCGACATTTTGAGATTGGGATTGTTTGTTTGCGGAAGACCGCCAGTCTCAGGGCTGCTGTATACACTATTGTGACGGTTTCGTGAGAAGAAACCACCACCGCTGCTATACGTAGTCGAGGAACTACGAACCGAACCCACTCGGGTGATCTGTCGTTGGAACCAACCATTCTTCTTCCGTTCCACCAACGGAGTGTCCACGCTCTCCTGAAGAACATGCGAGATTTAGTATCGAAAACATCACGAAATTGTGGCAGAAAACAAATTCATATGAATCGACAAAATATCGAGATCCTAATTAATTGTTTGGGTATATTTTATCGTAAATCTATAATTGTATAAAAGAGCATAAGTTAAAATTTATATAAAATTATTCCGTTGTATCGAGCTTATAAAAACAATTCACTTACGTAATCGGCATACACATCATCTTGATGAGTTTTACGATTTTGACCGTGACTGTGAATCTGTGTGCCCAGCATCACGTTTGCGTAAAGAGCGTCGCTATCTTTTACTTTGTAATGCTCCGCAGAGCCTTTCGGCTCCTCTTTTCGATATTGCTCGCTGGCGACTGTGTACGGCAAGTCCTTGGGTACAACTTCGTCCCAGTATTGATCTTTCAAGAGTTCCGGATGTTCCTCGTGCATCTCATCGACGATCATGTAACCTGCCTGTTATACGATAACGCGCGATGATATGATAAGCAAAAAATACATTAACATAGGATTGAAGAAAAGATTTGAGGTATATAGCAAAAAACATATCTCCATGCGCAAATATTTTGCTCAAATATCCATCACTTTTCTTTGTGTGAAAAAAAAAAAAAGATTTAAAAATAACAACGTTTTGTGGATCCTTTAAAACTATAATTTTTTTACAATCATCTTTCTTATTCTCACGTACCTTGATATGTCTGTCTATCAACCAATTCAGCTCGATGTCGTCGTCATCCTCGCCGAACGGATTAATCAGCACCTCGGCGACTTTTAGCCATCCGATGTAAAAACAAAACTGCAAGAATATACGTCAGTTTTATAAAAAGTCTTAAACATTATGCAGGAAAACTCCTACGCGGCATTCCGCAGTCATGCCTTTAGAGATAGTATCGTTCATCTTAATCACCTGCAGCGCTGTGAAAAACGGGAAATACATGTCCGGATCCTCATACTTTCCGGTGCCATTGGAACGTTCGACGAATTGTCTGCCGAGTAAGGCCGAGAAAAAGTAGGCGTATAGCGATAGTGTTACCACCTGAAAAATATATCGAGAGCTTCGTGACAAAGTTCTTATTATACTATCGTGATAAAAAAAAAAAAACGTGGCGCGAGTATAAATTTTTAGGAAGAAACTCGCATTCTCGCATTCGTCACGATACGAAAGATTAGCGTGTATAGTAGTATAATTTATTTCGTTTAAAGAGCGGTTGCTTTAGACGTGAAGCAAAGTCGTGGTAGCGAATTACACCGGAAGTCTCGAACTTTGTTAGACTTCGTCTTGTCGCTTCTTTTTCTGTATCGTGTAAGTACAAGCAAACAGGTTTTAATGAATGAATATCAAGGTCGTCTCGCGAGCGCCGCCTTTCTCACTGAAGGTTATCAGGAAACGGTAGTTCATGCAAAAATATAGCGTGACTTGTGCATATAAGAGACAATAGATAGTGTCTTGCATGTGGACTTTGAACATTTCGGAGCTTCGGATTGAAGAGATTTCTCTTAGATGTAACGCGCGCGAAATCATTCGCGAAGGCGTGACGTATTTCAGAATAATTACTGTTCAACTCTCTTGTCGACCTTGACCATGCAACATGTATCGTATTTATTCTTCGTGTTTCAGGCACGTTTCATTATCCGCGCTGCATCCATCGGTTAAAGTTATAAGCTGCCAAAGGAATATTCCTTTTAATTAAACTTACTGTAATATATATACTGCGGTACATAATATATGTTTATAATAACTATGTTCCCTTATAAGCACAAGTACTAATAGCTTGTATTAAAATAATATGCTATAATTACATATTCCTTCAAAGTCAGATTTTAACCGCATCAAACAAGTTATTTTAAAAAATGCATCCTTTAATGATAAAACTTTTCTTTATAATTTATATTATTTATATGCAAATACACTAAAAAAATGTAGTATATAAAGCAATAATAAATATTATTTATCATATATTATATATGGAAAATGCGGATATACTCTACGTCAGATTTGGGTTAAACATTTTCATCATGATACACACATGATATATCGTTGCGAGGTAGCGTTACAAGGATAGGCAAAAACGTTTGTAGTGTAAATGCAGGCGAATGTAATAACAGCGAGTATCCAAAACGGGTATTAATCTTCGACGGATGTATCATTACGCGGTGAATACTCTGCGGTCGTTACGCGTAATCTTCTTGCGATTTCACGGAGTATGTCGAATCGCACTATCGTCTTGAAAGAGATTTATACGTGATTTATACGTAAAAAAAATACCATACATATAATTCATCGTTGCTTTGCTGGCTTTTCCCAAATTAATAACAAGCTTGGATGTTCTTAAACATTAAACGTCAATTGTCATTTTTTAATAAATCAAATATATTTTTATTTATTTCATTACATATAGTAAAGTGTATTTAAATATATACCTATTATGTGATTAAATATGTATTTAGATTTTTACAATATATTTAATGAGCACAATTACTAATAATGATAGAACATATGAATAAAAAAAGTGTTTAGGAATTTGCGAGAGTAATGCGAAATACGTTCTATAACACAAAGATTTGAGCGGAGCTTCTCTCATCGCATCACGTTCGCCCAGATTTGCGAAATGACGCAGTCTTTAATTTCTTGAAAACAGTTTTAACAGCAGATAATTAAGGAAGCTGGTTGATGAGCAATTACAATTGCACAACGCATACATCTTCGCTAATTGCAAATACGAAATACATCTCTTTCGGGAAGAAGTTTCACTTTACTGTCTCATGTACTTAAATGCATTAAATCCTAAATAGGAAAGAAGGTTTACAAGGTGTACACAATAAAAAAAAGTTATTAATTTCTGTGCAGTTAACGTCAATGGTTTGGCGTGCACTGTTATCAATAAGTGGGTTAGAAAAATTCGAAAGAGTCATGTCAGTAAAACAATTATTGCTAAACAACTCATGTTTTGTACAATAAACAATTTTAGCGATGAAATTTCTGTATTATTAATAATTATTTATGCATTATAATTAATATTATACCGAATAAAAGATACTTAATATTATTGCTTAGAGGCAAATTGGATCAAATAACGTTGGAAATATTTATAGTCAATATTTAGCAGCAGACAGCGACAGACTTTTCTATTGATCTATTGTCTCATTGTCAGTTTGATATCACATATTGCAAGTAAAGTGTAAATAATGTATTGGATACAGTTGCCGAAGAATTACATAATAATGCGTCATACTCCTGGCGCTTTAAAGCACGATGATGACACGATCAGTAAAGAACGATGAAGACATTCACGTAACATATTCGACATCTGCCAATGACGAGCGATACTATCGACATGTAATTTTTCCACGACGCCAACGTGAGAAGGAATGAACAAAAAAACGTACAAAGTAACATTGTCTCTCTTTTCTTTTGCATGTGAAAAAAGAATGAATCAAATAAATTGTTAGAATTTCGTTATTCTTATAATTATCAGGATTTACACGTCGACGGATTTATACGTTTATGAATGGTTGCAAACTTTAAAGAAACTGACGACGCATTAGATCAGAACGCTTTTCGATTTCACGTGAGAATACTCACCTGAGTGTAGACTAGAGGAACACAGACAGTATCGTAACCAATCAATGCACCAAGCCTCTTCCGGATGTCGCTGAGCTCGACAAGAAGGACTTGCACCACTTGATCGCTTGTAATCAGGGCTTCTTTTCTCGCCCTGTTAATGATATTGGTCGCCCAAACCAACGGCATCCAATACTTAGACATGGCCGCCTTCTTGTTCATCATCTCAAAGATTTTCTTCTCCGATTCCATCATCAGACCTAAAGAAAATCGACGAGATTAAGCACGAGTTGTTTCGTTGCTTGCCCGACTTAAGCGAAAAACATTTCCGGATGTCCCAACTGTGTAATTATACAGAACTTTCCCCGCGTGAGACGCTTGAAAAATTTCCTCGACGAGATACGGGTGCTTGTACACATATTGTGAATCGCGATCGATATCACAGGGCAGTAAGTCAGCCAACCTGCGCCTCGCAATGCTCCGCGATCTTGCGTTAATTAACAAATCCATCAGCACGGTTCGTTAATCGGCAACGAATTTATCAAGCAATCAGCATCTTTCGCTGACTTTCGCGTGCGCAAGTTCTATATAGAATAGTCATATATTCGTTTGAGCAAAGTTGTAGGCTTGTGGGTGCGTACGTGAAACTGTGTAAACTACTAATGCAAAACATATCCATTGTCTGCGTAATAGTTTCCTCGAAATCAAAGTGAAATCGTTAGTCGGGCAAAAGTTCTACGCTTTGTTTCCTGATTAACGATAATATTATACACAAACAGTATTAAAGTTTTGCTAAACGTTGCCATATTTTATTCAAATACACTTTCTTAGTGTCATATATCACATCTCATTTTAGCAAATTGTATATTACTTTCATATAAATCAGTTTTATTTTATGCATTGTGATTAATTTCTATTACTCTAATTTTATATAAATTTAAGCATAAAAAAGAACGTAGTTACATATAACCGTATATTTTTTAGACATAAATTTATGTTATGAATGAACCTATAATAATGTGTGTTATAAAGCGTATTTCTACGCCAGGAAAGAAGACGCTCAATATCTCTCTTCAGTAAAAAGCATTGTTATAAGCGATTAATAAGAACTGCACAAAAAAGATCAAATATTTGTTATCTGACAGAATAACAATTGCGTATAAGCGTTCATAACTGGTGACATGAGTCTGTCGTAAACATTGGACGATGCGATAGCACGATGAAGGCGGGAGAGATTGGAAAGACGAGCATTTGGTTAACTAATAAATCACCTTAACCGATATTAGATAGGTAAGAAACCAATAACGTAAACGAATTTCATGTGCAGATTTGCGTTTGAAAGAAAATCGAAAGATCGTGATGTGCGGAAATTATCTAAACCGAGATTGTACGATATTATATGGCATGTCCAATTTCTTCCGCGCCAAATCTTAACGAGGAATCTTTTAAAAATTGCCAGGTGACATCTTCCTAGTGAAAGTCAGTGGAACAGATTATTTATATGACTGTATTATTTAAGCATTAATACATTGGATGTGCATATAGATAACTTAAAATAATCAAGATATTTGAAAATAGTAATAAAATATTCACAGTTCTTGCATTTACTACTTTTAATATTGATGAACTAATACTTTCATAATTGAATTTATTTGTCTATTTTTTAAAGATTTATTTTTTTTTGCTAAAATCCATGTAACTCAGAATTAAGAAAGCGTATCCATCACGCAATAATAAAAACTTTCTTATTGCAATGATCTAAGTCTCCTGTCATTGCACATCTCATAAATACAGTGGCTCTACGACCAAACAGATAGATTGGTCTTCTGTCCGGGAGCGAGACTATATAGTCGAGACAAAAACTATCTTAAAAGTCACGGTGACCGCAAAGAGCAACTACTGGCTCGATTGGTGCCCGATCGAGTAACGGGAACATCGTAATTTTTCTCGGAGGTATCTTTTTATTGTTAGAGCAGAAAGGGTCGCGTTCGCACGAGCGTACATCCGTAACTAAGCTGGGGCGATGGCCGAAAAAAAAATGAGGCAGCCTTGCTACGGGCAGCTATCGAAATAACTCGCGGCGTCACTCCGACAAGTCGTTGATCGAAGAAACGGTCTGCGAGATGAAAGACACTACGGTGGAAACGGGTAGATTACTAATGACGGCGCACGCACGCTCTTTTATTCAGCGGGCGTAGTTGAATCAGGTACACACCTTAATAGCAAAAACTGACATAGAGGCAACCGGGGCATTCAATTTAGCGCGCTTTACGTGATTTATACGCCTTAAACACGCGGCATTAAAATCTTTTTTATTTACGGTAGATTTTATCCTTCCATTCATCTCTTCTACGAGAGATGTGCTCTTATATGCATAGCACGTATGTATGCTCGTACATGCTTAGCATGCATGTTTCAGCATCGTTTCTTTGACATACCGTTTTAAGGATCGCACGTTATCCCGTTCTTTTTTTCTTATTGTTAGACATGTATTTGTATATAGTGTATCATTTTATGTACCGTTTTGAGGAACCACGTGTTATCCTATTTTTTTACATATACTTGATTCACGAATCTACAGAAGCAACATAATTCTAACTTCTGTAAAATAGACGTAAGTAAGTAACTCTCGTTTTCCATATAAATATAATTATAATTCATATAAACATAATATTTGGGACAATTAATGCAACAAATGCAAAATGGGAGCAATTAAATGTTCTATTGTAACCGGATTTTTTAATCAAACACATATGTCTTGTGCACTTTTAACGAATATTAGTAAACATCGCAGAATGTTTGAACTGAAATCATTTTTGAATGATCGATCACATTGATTTGCGATCAGCTCGCCCCATTCATCACGCGACCTTGATATCGATGTCACAGTGCACATGATATCGTGCACAATGAGCTTGAGAATTCGCAGGCTGCGACTGAAAGTAACGGCCGATAATTCGATCGAGTGACTCATTCGCGTGCTGCGATACATTACTGGCAGTGAAGACCAAATATGTCGAAACGAATATTATCAGTATTTAAGTATTTAACATAACATTTAAAACAAGATTAAATAATTAAAATAATTTTGCAAATTGCAACACATTGTTTGCAATAATAAAAAACAATCCTATATATATTTACACTTCCATATGTTACACTTCGGTTTACAATTTCCGAAAAATGCGTGGCGCCATGCGCCTAAAAAAATTTCGAAAGCGCCCATAAAGGTGATTTATATTCACTTTCACGGGTTTTAACAGATCGCACAAATTTATGAGATAACATCCGCTCAATTCGCGCGTTGGTGTAAAATTTACCGCTCGAAGCGGAACGCGCCGCGTGTATGATGACATAGAACCGCTACTACTGTCTCTAGGAGAAGAGACAAGAATTATTTAATGCCGTTAGTATCTGTTAATAGAAGCAAATCAGCGCGCATTAGGGAAGCGCCTGACTATATGTGGTTCTCCGACCCCGTAGTTGTTTACATTAAACTGTAGCTCGTAAATCATAATCATCGTATCGGTGAACATCGGTAGAGCGTTTATGGTATAAAACTCAATGCGCGTGTAATGAGTTTGAATCCGATCATTAAATCTGGATTAGTAGCTAGCTTTCTTCGCATCATTTACGCTTCGACCGATATAAATAGATGGATGATGTTGTAGAATTGTAGAACATAAAATTAAAGTACTCCGATGCCTCAATGCGCAAAAAAAATATTAAGATACTCTTGAATTCTAAATATAGATATAGATATTTATATAATTTTCTGAGACATGGGAAAAATAGAAATAGAGAGTAAGGGGAAAATAAGAATGGGAAAGTAATAATTCTTATTTAAATATCTAAAAATGTGTAATAGATTTAATGATGGAATAAATTAGATATAAATAATATAAATACCATATTATCTTTCTCAAACGATTCACAAAATATCTTCTTTATTTAAAAAATAGTTTCTCTCGACTTAGGAACATAGTCAACAAGGAATGCTGACGCAAAAGTTACAACATAGAACCGAGCCTTCAGAACGAGATGAAAGATTTATTTTTCGAAAGCGATTATACGGCGGTGCGGATAAAATTCCAGAAAATTGTACCCAAGCGCAGTCAAGTTTTGCAAGTCTCATCAAATAAAACGACTTTGGCGATGAAGAAGTGGTTCCCTTCATTCCTGGCAGGATGTTTACCTCTCGGGACCATTGGCTACAGACGTGGATGAGCGAGATGAAGTACGAGCACCCAGGGAGAAGGATACGCGGTAGGGGTCAACAAACGCGGGGATCCTTGCTCCGCTGGCAAGGTCGCGATAGAAATAAAAAATAAACCGAGTTCTCTCGGTTCCACTCGTTCTTCATATCCTTGCCGACGACGCTGAAAAGCAGCATCCTTCGGAGAAAACCAGTCTGCTGTCCGGTTCGTAACTCTTTAAGCATAGTCTACAACGCGGGAGCCGGATGAATGCGGATGTATCGCGTAAAAGTGTCGTGGGACGTCGACATTGGGCCATTCGAATTGATATAGTAATATCCGGCTGTTGTCCCGGGCTTTCTTTTGCAGGCTAACTAAAGGCATCAATGATAAGAAATCTGCGCTTTTCAGAATGAATCATTCCTGCTATATTATTAATACTGAATTGAAGAAGAATTGTCACGCGTGTTCTATAAAATAATATTTTAATATACATATTATTTATAATGCACTACCTAAAGAGAACAATTGTTTTAAATAATTGTGTGTCTGTAAAAAAGATATAAAAAAAAAGAATATATGGCCAAAATATACGATCAAAACAAAATTATTAATTGAGAACAAAATGTTTCCACGTCTTTTTAGTTATAATTAAATTCCATTCTATTCAGATCTTATTAGGCATTCTTAGGTATATACCAGATCTTTTCTTAGGTACATACCAAAGAATAAATTTGCTCAGATTTACAATTTTTATTATAAGAAACAATAAAATAAGGGAAAAAGGGTTTGACCGATAATGATTAAAATTTTTCCAGGAGATACAATTAGTTTCTTGAAATCTCTGGCGCGTAATAATAAACCTCTTGCACGTGAATAATAGTACTTTCTGTTACACCGACGATATACCGTGCATGCATATGTGGAAGGTGGTAGCCGAGCTCAAGTCGCAGACTTGGCGCCAGTGAAAATGCACTGATTAGGAAATATTCTCGCGTAATTAGAGGCGAGCAACTTCGGAGCCACTCGGCGCGTGCGTTGCGACGGATGCGCGCTGGATGTCA